AACTTAAAACAACAACAACAAAAACTATATAAAGAAGCCAAGAAGACTATGAATGAGTGTGCTTGAGAGGAGGAAGAAATGACAATGGAGATTATAATATGACTGCTGCTAATAATAAGGAGCTCTGGTAGCGTAGTGGTTACGAATTGGGCTGCTAACTTCAAGGTCAGCAGTTCGAAACTACCAGCTGCTCCATGGGAGAAAGATGAGGCTTTCTATTCCTGTAAAGATTTGCAGCCTCAGAAACCCTGTGCAGGGTTCACTATGAGTCGGAACTGACTCCACGGTACTTAACAACAGCAACTACTAATAAAGAAGTCCTGGTGTGGTACTGTGGATTAATGAGCTGGACTGCAAAGTCATTTGAACCACAAAGTCGGTGGTTCAAGCTCACCAGCCACAACTTGGAAACCCTATATAAGGTCATAATAGCAATATTGATAATAATAATAATGGTATCAGGAAACCATTAAGGAAGCTGAGGTGCTAACCAAAAGGTCAGCGGTTTGAACCCACCATTGACTACAAACTATCAGTGACTTTGGAGGAGATAAGAACTGAAAAATTTGCTTCCATAAAGATGATAGCCCTATGAGGCAGCTCTACTCTGTCCAATAGAATCGCTGTAAGACAGAGAGATATGTTGGGCATCCATATGTTGCTGTGTGCCATTAGAAATGACCTCGACAGCACACAATAACAACATATATAAGTCAAGAAGAGGTTCCTGGGTGGTGGCAATGGTTAGTGCTTCTCTACAAACCTAAAGACTGGAGGTTCAAATTTACCCAGAGGTGCAGTGGAAGAAAGGCCTGGTGATCTACTTCCACAAAGACCAGAGCCAAGAAAATCCTATGGAGTACTTTTACTCTGTAACCATGACATAGAATTGGTGCAATGGCAAATGGGTTTGTTTTTTGGGTTGGTATGTTTCAGGGACTGTAGTAATGTAAATGCATTATCATTTAAGTTTTACATAAATCCTACAAAGGAAGTATGATTATTTAACACATTCCATCAGCGAAGAAATGTAATCTTAGGGAATTTAAGCAACTTCTTCAGGCCTGAATGATAAAATGCCTTTAATGCTCATATGAAAATTTCCAAAGTGAGAGGACTGAGTTGGTAGCCTGCCCATTCTAATAGCTCTAGTCCCTTAATTGTGCTGCCTAACAGGGTAGCTGCTGGCCACACGTGATGGATGAAATTTAAATTAAGTGAATTAAATCAGTCCAGTGCTACTGAGCACTTGAAATGTGGCTACTACAAATGAGGAACTGAAATGTTAATCTCATTTAGTTTTAATTAACTGGGGCTAGTAGCTACTGTGTTGATCTGAGAAACTTTTATTTTTTGTCAGTTTTTGTCAGACATGTTTTATGGTTGCCTTCGAAAATCTCAGAGCCAGAGGGGCACTTGTTGTTTTGCTGAAGGATTCATAAAAAATCAGGGACACCTTAGGTTGTCTTTTACTTAAATGATAGAGTGGCTCAGAAAATGAAGAGGATAGGGATGTATGACTTGGAATGGACTCTATGGCAATGGGTGTGGATCACCTGTGAATATTGAATCCCTTTAAAAAATCATTTAAAGGGGAACAAATGGTGAAAAATTACACTAAAGAGAGAAGACAAGGGGACAGGGAAACTAGAGTCCTGGAAAAGATACAACCAGAAAAGAATGCATGAGAATGATGGCACAGTAGGAAAAATTTAACCAATATTACTGAATCATATGCATAGAAATTATTAAAATGGAAACAATTTCCTAAGTAAACCTGCACCTTAAACACAATAAAATATTATTTCATTTAAAAATTTAGGGGGATAATTTCTCAGGACTTCTTCCTTAGGTGGGGAGACTGGTCAGGCTTTCTAACTTGGCTGCTCTAGCATCCTGGAACCCCAGCAGTTCTGATGGCATCAGGAGTTACAGTGAGTAGATCACAGAGCCACACCAGGCAAACGCAGAAGCCACTGTCCTCAGATACTGGTGTGAAGCAGCCTTAGCAAGAAACTGGTTAGTATGCAAATTCCTGGGTCCAGGCTCCTGAGTGCCTGATGCAGTGGATGTTGGGGAGTCTCAGGGGGTCTGTATGTTCGTCAAGTGCCCCAGTGGTTTTAATGCAGGTGGTCTAGCTTTGAGAAATTTGGCCTTAGAGGCCATATGACACATTTATCTCTTGGCTTCTTAAATAACGATAGCACATAAATCTTTCGAGAACAACACACATTGGGCAGGATGCCAGGCAGACATCACTCTGCACTAATTGCTCACTTCTATGACATCAGGCTGGGTGCTTAGTCACTGAGGCCTCATTTTTTTCATCTGAAACACAGGTCCTGTGTCTCTGGGACAAAGGGGAACACAGATGTGAAAACATTTGAACAGGCCATAAAAGCTAACATGCACTTTCTGTATACATCCTATAACTCAGAACTGGGGTTCACTGGTTGAACAGAACCCTTAATAGAAAGCACAAGAACAATCCACATTTTTAACTTTTCACAAACAATGACACAATATGACAATGCAGACCTCATATTAGGCAGGCAACCAGGTGTGGTTAAAAACATCATTCTGGAGGCATAGGCATGGGTTCAAATCCTTTGTCACTTAAAAGTTGGGTGACCTTGAGTAAGCCCCTTGACCTCTCTTTGTCTTAGTTTCTTAATTCTGGAAAGAGAATCAAAATAGTATACCTCCCTCATAGGGTTTGGATGATTGCATTAAATGAACTAATATTTATGAAGTACTGGGAACGATGCACCCTTGGCACTGTTTGGTAACAGTGCTTGGTAAGAGCACCCTAAGTGTTAGTTGGGTAAATTCTCTGCATGGGGCAGGAATCAGGGGGAGTTGGCAGCAGCTTTCACTGTCAGATGGGGCACACATGCACCTGATTATCAGTCTCCCCCTAGAGCCTACTCTCCCAGAAGGGGGACACAGCACTGGACCACAGGGTCAGTTTGAACACAAGGTAAGAGGTTCAAACCCACCAGTCACTCCTTGGAAACCCTATACAGAGTCATAATGAGTCAGAACTGACTGGAAGGCCCTTAACAACAACAACCACCCCTGGTGTACTGGGGTGTACTGACCCATTTAGGGGCAGATGTGGTGTGGTGCTGTAGGATAAGCACTAGATCGTAAGGGCACTCTGAACTGCAAAGTCAGAGGTTCAAATCTACCAGCTTCTATGAGTCGGAATTGACTTGATGGCACTAAACAACAACATACCAGTGCCCACTATCTTGTCTGTCTGTTGCACTGTGGAGGTTTGTGTTTTCATTACAATTAAGGTATCTATCGATACCATTGGAATCCTGGTTTGTGTGACACTGCGTGTTAATGCATCAGACTGCAAAGTCGTTTGAACTGCAAGGTTGGCGGTTCAAAGCTCACCAGATCCTCCTTGGAAACCCTATACAGGGTCACTATGGGTCGGAATCGACTCAACGGTACTTCACAACAGCAACGACATGGATACCACCAACAGTCTGTAAGTTTGTTGTACTGTGTTGGCTTGCATGTCCGATGATGTGAGAAGCATGTCATTGGTATTTCAAATACCAGTAGGGTCTCTCACAGTGGGCAGGTTTCAGTGGAGATTCCTAACTAAGACGGACTAGTGCTGAACATTCACCATTGAATGTCTGAGTGAGTGCTGGATGATGAGCCCCCTAGGCAGGAAGCTATGAACAAGAGCTGCAACAAGCTCAAACATGTCAATGCTTGTGAAGATGGTGCGGGACTCGATGTTCCCTTTTGTTATACACAAGGTCACCCCAAGTCTGAGCTGAACTGATGGTGACAAACAGCATCATACTCAGATGTCTTACAGCAGTATTTCTCAAGCCACTGGTGATGAAGGTCATTTTGTTTCCATTTCCATTCCTGTGTGGACTGACGCACACACCTACTGAGCACCGTTCTTGGGCTTACCACATGTATTCTATATGCCCCTGACTAGTCTCTACCCTGATCCATGAGACGAGACCACCGCACATACAGTGAGAAGCCCCAGCAATGGAAAATGGATCCAAGGGTTTCTGAACACTCTCAGTATTTAACTGAGCAACAATTCACAGGCTAGCCTTGATCCCTCTGAATACCACTAGCTTTAGAACTTGGCGTTCATGCAAACCAACCAGACAACTTGATTAGAGACAGCATGTGAGGGATTGGCTTTCTCTCTTCACTCCTGTTTGCCTACCCTATTGTCTATTTGTTACGTCTTTACTTGCACATTCAAACCCACTCCCTGGTAAGACAGTGGGGTCCAGGACAGCCTTGGCAGCTGCAGTGAATGCTTTTGGTGTCCCGGCCAGTCCCCAGACAGATACTTATAACCCAAGTGTTGTGAAATCTGCTGCCAGTTCACAGCTGGCCCTTCTCCTCAACGTGGCCTCTGGAGGACAGAAGCTGCTTTGTACCATGCCTACAACCATACCTTCAGCCCATACTCATTCTGCCAGCAGGCCAAAGCCAATGATGGACTGACACAATCATACAAAAGGTCAATTCCTTTGTCTCAAGAAGGCGCTAACTCAGAAATCTGTCTCCCTTGTATGGCTGGTGGGCTCGGACCTTGTGGTTCCCAGTCCATTGCTTATCATATGAAGCCAAGGTGCTCTGTAAATATACTAAACTCTAACAAATGACATGTTTTAAATTGGGGGAAAAAAGGAGCTAACTCGGGGATGCAGTTCATCCGTCAGCACCTGCTGTGGAATCAGACTAAAAGCAGACTCCAGCTGAGGCATCTTTCCCTTCCCTCACTCCCTCTGTCCTGGGAACAAGTCCTTAGTAAACCAGAAGCATCCAAAGACCTGTTGACTAAGCATCAAAGACCAAAGTTATTAGAAACCTGGATTCACTTTGCTCAGCAGCCTATTGGAGGAAAGCACCTGGCAGGACCCAAACAACAACTCTGAGGCCCAGTGTCAGTGTCTACAGAACCCCTCTTGTTACCCGTTTTCCAGGTGAGCAGAACCTACCTGTTGCATTAGACAGGGCCAGCGATTCCATGGAACCCCGAGGGGTCTGCTCAGTGGGCATCATGTCCTCAGTGTATTTCAGGGAACTGATGGGATGACGGGTCCGACACTGCTGAGTGGACATGCCCCCGTCCTCCTCCTCTTCCTCCTCGTATTTGGGGACCTGGATGCTGCCTCGGGTTTCACTAAAGCTCTGACTTGACATGTCACTGTAGCTCTCTTGGGATCTCAGCCTAGCCGGGTAATAATCTTCACGGCATTCCTTGATAAAGCTGCCCCCGTGCCCCTTCATAGCCAGCGATGAGCTCCTTTTGGGGTTGCCGAAGTGCTTGCCCCACATGTCAGGCTGTGCCCCAGCCCCTTGCCCTCCTGGGCTGTAGGAAGTTCTGATGTTGCACTGGCTGAGGAGTTGCAAAGGACTCTGGGACTGACTCTGCTCCATCTTGTTCCCATAATGATAGGGTTCATCCCGGCTCCTCCAGATGGGGTCCCGGTTGAGGCTGGGCGTCTGGCTGGACAGGCTGAGCAGGTCCATCTGCATCGACAGGGGGTCCACATCAGCCGACAGCAGGTTGGAGCTCACCTGCAACTGGTTGTGCTGGGTCAGCACAGGCTCCTCGGTCTTGCCCTTGTTCTTGCCGATTTTGGCGCTGCGCCGGGACTCCTTGGCCCTGGCGTTCTGAAAGGCTGAATCAGACGAGTCAGAGCCATTGGGGTCTTCGCCAGCGCTGCAGGCTCGAGAACAAAAGATCTGGCCCTGCTTTGGGAGGAACGGCCGCCCCAGGAGGGATTTTTTGCAGTGAGCACAGCAGAAACAGGTCTCAGTGGCATGCCAGTGCTGGCCATCGTAAGTCATCTGACCTTGGTCGATTCCTGGGGGGAAAACAGAAATGGGAGAGGCTCAGAGTCCTTCACTACAACCCAACACACAGAGCCATGGTTGGGCTCGCACTCCAGGTAGAACCAATTGTCTGTAAATTAAGGATCAGGCCACAATGCAAATGGCATCCTGGTCCAACTACGGCAGCCCCCTTGCCCCTTGCCCTACCTGTCGTCTCCTTCTGAACTTACTTGCTCTGAGCACGGAGAATCTAGATCATAATGCCCAGTCTGGGACTCTTTCTGCCAGGGACATGATTCTCACATTAAGCAGTAATGACACATACATATAATCAAATACTTCTTAAGGGCTTTATATATGGAAATGTAATTCCTCAACTGTAGAAAGTAGGTTTCTACTACTATTACCATATGCCTAAGGTCCTAAAACTAAGAAGCAGAGACAATCTTGCTCCTAACCACAGCTCTGACAACTGTTTTCGTCTTTGAGGTGTTTTATTCAAATATCCTCTTGGAGAAGTCTTGCTCCCCACCTTGTGTAAAGTGTGTTCTCCACCAGTCCCTGGAGAAGGACATCACGTTTGGTAAAGTGGAAAAGCAGTGAAGAAGAGGAAGACCCTCAATGAGATGGATGGGCACAGTGGCCACAACCATAGGTTGTGAGCAGCGATTGTGAGGATGGCGCAGGACCGCGGGGCTTTGTTGTTGTACATAGGGATTGCTATCCGTTAGAACTGACTCGATGGGACCTAACAACCATCACCACCACCACCACCTCCCTTTCCTGCTGCATTTTTCTTCACAATTTTAACACCATTTGACTTCGTACCACTATGCGAATGGACTTAATCATTTATCTTCTCCACTAAACCTGAAGTTCTATGAGTTCAGGGTCATTGCAGTTCTGTAATATTTTCTGACCCTAGGGGCTTCTCATATGTTGACTGGATGGAGAGTTGAATTTCAATCACTAATCCACAAGGAAACTTCAAGGAGATGGTGGAGAAATGGAATTGAAAGGTAACAGAATTTTTTCCTAAGTCCTTCCTATATCATTTCAATGGGAAATTCACTGTCTCAGCTCAGTGACAATAGAAATTTTGGATTTTAGCTCTTGATCAGGAACATTTAGATGTGTTTGTCAAAAATATTGCTCCTCTGTAAGCATGTATGCCCTTTGCTTAACTTCATTAGAAGTGGGAGAAACATTTTCCTTCCTGAGGTTGGTTTGCACAGTCTCATCAAAGGCAACATCATGAGACCCCTCCGAGTCCCTGCTGTTCTCCTTCCTATCACCTCTTCCGGCTCTTCTGGCTATAGGTGAGGCTCCACTGGACCCACCTTACAGCCAGGAACCCCAGGGACTGCTTCAGGATTAGACATGTGACCTACACTGGACCAATGAAAAGAGTCCCCTGGGACCTGTGCTAGCTACTGACACACAGAGACTCTCTTTGTACTGTAGTTGCTAAGCTGGTGGAATGAAAGCTGGAGGATGATGGGCTCCATGATTTAAACACTCTGTGCCTGAGAATTCAGCCCCAAGCAAACAGTATAGGGTGGAAGGGGGCTTTCTCAAAGACTCCTGCACCGTAAATGAGACAGGTCTTTCCAGAAAGGTAGCACTAACATGAATATCACCTGCGGTGACTGAGCCTGGACTTTTAAACACCTAATTTTTCTCTTACCCTGGTCATCCACCTGTTTACACTTACGTAGCTGGAGCTCAAGGGAAGAGAGAAGTCAGGCAAATTATCCTGTTATTTCTTTTCCAATCTTAAGGGAGTCTGTTTGAGTCCCTAAAAATCCAAATCAAACCTGCTGCCATCGAGTCTATTCTGACTCATAGCAACCACTGGTACAGAGAAGAGATGCCCCTTAGGGTTTCCAAGTCTGTATGTAATCTTTACGGCAACAGACTTTCCCATCTTTCTCCCATGGAGCAGCTTGTGGGTTTGAATACCGACCTTTTGGTTAGCAGATGGGAGCTGGCGACTGTGCTACCGGAGGGGGGGGGGTGGGTATCAGAGGGGCAGGAGCAACCACCTGGGCCATCCCAAGATGAGAAGGACACTGTGTGCGTTAGCTGCTTTCCATTCCAGCACCTGTCTTTCCAGGTAGAGTGAGAAAGGGCTGGGGCAAGGCTAAAATCCAGCTAACCCAGACTTGTGAGTGATCAACCCTTTTGGCCACTCTGCTGGGAGGAAGCAGGAGCCTACAACAGAACGAACAGGCTTCTGCAATAGTTACAAGGGAGACTTCAAGAGTCAGCCAAACGCAAGTTCAAGTCCCAGCTCTGTCCCATGCCAGCTGCTACAACTTTGTCTAGTGTGCTTGCGTCGTTCTAGCCGTGTAACCCTAGACCAGTTGTTTCATATCTCCATGCCTCAGTTTCCTCAGCAGAAAAATGGGGTTAATCATATTACTCACCGCACAGAGTTACTGCAAGGATTCAAGGAGTGGCTATGCCTAAGTGCTTAAATCTGTGGTTCTTTTATTTTTCCTTTCTCCTTCTTTGCCAGGATCTACCTCAAAGAAGAACTCTGAGGCTAGCTCAGATGCTCTGCCCTCCTTTCCATTTCTTGTCACATGCCAAGAGTCTAGAGAGTCTGAGCTGTTGTCCCTGGCTGCTCTGTGGTGAGCTCCTACTCCATATAACATACAGGAAGCTGGGGCCTTATTCCACCCTCTCAGACGAACAGGAAACATAGCTCTTATGGCCTGTCCTCCACCAGCTGCTTCTGCTTCTGCAAGGAAGCATGTTCAGACGCTGAAGAGGGGCCTAGTTTCTGGGGAGGGGGCCTCCTGGAAGGAAGGCTGGGTCGGCGGAGAGAAGGGGAGTCATGTTATAAAGCTGCCCAGTAGGCAGTGGAGCATGGTCCGGGATAAACATCAGCGATGTCAGATGGTCCTCTGAACTGCTCCTGAACTCTAAACATCTGGAAAAGGGCTCTGCCGTTCAACATCTAAGCGTTCCTTTCTTATTCCCTCTCTAAGCCCTTTAAGCACTTCTCTGAGAGTGTGTGTGTCTACTGCTGCTACAGCCTCAATCTGTTTATAGGACTGTTTACTCGGCCGTGTGCAGGCAAAAGCACCGTTGCCCTAGCAACGGCGGCCTGATGCAGAATCTGCGCTGAGTGGCTGTATAAATATGGACTGTTTGTACAGTATGGCCAGCGTTAGAGCACTCAGCAACGGTGGAAAGTATAATACACAGAACGTTCCCTTTTGCTGTCACAAGAAAATTACGTTTTACAGAAAAGGGATGGGGGTGGGGATTCGGGACAGCATTCCAATGACAGCAATGAAGATACTGCAGACCATGGAGGCTTCACTTCCTTTCCAGGCAAAACCAATGCCTTTTAAGGAAAGGAGAAGCAGGGAGCCAGTAAATCTTATTGCTGTTGGGGGACATCAAATGAATTCCAAATCACAGAGACCCTAGAGGACAGGGTGAAGCTGCGGCACAGGGTCTCTTAGGTGGTAATCTTTATGAAAGCAGACTGCCTGGTGTTTCTCCAGTGGAGCTCCTAGGTGGGCTTGAACTGTCAGCCCTTTGGGTTAGCAGTCGAGCACTTATATGTTATATCACCAGGGATCCAAAAATGGCTACCCACTAGCTACTAAAATAAATGACTAAAGGAAGAAGGAAAGAGAATAAAACAGAAAGAGCTTTTCAGGTATATGAATCTGGTCTCTCCCAAGTCACTGAATAAAAATTCTAAGTGGCAACTCTTGGAACAGCTTTTAAACTTCCCCAGAAAGGGGCAGAAAGCAATAAGACTGAAGGGAAGGGGCACTGTCGCTGTAGGTAAGTCTCCTGTACCATCAGTCCCTCTCTCAGGAGCAACCACTGACTTACAGTCTCAGAATCCACATGTGAACCAGATTGGATCCGTTTTCCCTGACACCATCTCATCCCTTCCCTTCTGCACATGGCCAGCCACCTCTCAAGAAGGAGAGCTCTATTTCCTAACTCTTAACATAAAAGAAAGGTGGTCTGTTTTTCTGGCTCTGCCTTGGTCTTAAGAGAAAAGAAAACCCTGAGTGCATCGCTAAGGCATCAGGCTGTGAGAGGGTGAAGACTTTAGGGGGGCGAGTGTGTCACCCAAACCCTGGAATGGAAAGCAGCTGGACAAAGGTCTTCATAACAGCACTTATTCCTTCCTGGTCCTGACCCCAGGACTCCAGATCAGAAAAGCCAATGACAAATACCACAAGTAGATGGCTTGTGCACAAAGCTGTGGTTGTTTTATCAGCTTATAAAGTTCTCAAAAGGAGCTCTGGTAGCATAGTGGTTACGAATCGGGCTGTGAACCGCAAGGTCAGCAGTTCGAAACTACCAGCGGTTCCGCGTGAGACTGATGAGGCATTCTGCTCCCCTAAAGATTTACAGCCTCGGAAACCCTGTGCAGGGTCGCTATGAGTCGGAACCGACTCCACGGCACTTAACAACAACAACAACAACAACAACAACAAAGATTTACAGCCAGGGAAACCCTGGGCAGGGTCACTATGAGTCGGAATCGACTCCATAGCACTTAACAACAACAACAAAGTTCTCAAAGTACGAGCTAATTTTCATCTAAATACATTATTTCAGATGGACCACTTCCTTTTTTCACTAACAAAAAAAATCGCTTTTGTTGTTGTTAAGTGCCATCGAGTTGGTTCTGACTCATATCTGGTTTCTGAGGCTGTAAATCTTTGTGGGAACAGACTGCCTTGTATTTCTCCCATGGAGTGGCTGGTGGGCTTAAATCACTGATCTTGTGGTTCACAGTCCAGTGCTTATCCTACAGAGCCACTGCACTCCCGAAAAAATCTCCTCACTGTAGGTCAGAAGCTTGTACCTTCAGAACAGACTTCCTCCAACTGCACAAGACAAGGGAGGCTGGTGCTGATAGTCACACTGACATTTGTCCACTGCCTTTTCTTAGAGGGCAGTTCATTCCCAAGGTGTTAAGAAAAGGCAAGTGCAATGTACAAACCACAGCACAGTACTGCCTGGGCAGCATTGAAGAGTTAAACAAATTCGTTATTTGCAAAGGGAAAATGATTTTCACCATCTCAGATCTCTCACTTATTTCAGGGAATTTATAGCTTATGGAGTCCTGGTATGGCATGTAAGAGAAGCACTTCAAAGTCGGCAGTACAAACCCACCAGCCACTCCTTGGAAATTCTATACAGGGTTGCTATGAGTCAGAACCAGCTTGGCGGTACTTTAACAAACAACAATAGCTTATGAGCTATTTGAGATTCTTTTGATCTGAATTTGGACTAAACTGGAGCTGGATCAGCCTTTCCTGATTTTTTCTTTGTTTTTAATAACATGCTTGCTGGAAACCAGTTGGTTTCCTTGACTACAGGCAGCCCAGGTTACAAATGAGATCAATTCCTGAGCGTGTCTTTAAGTGGAATTTGTAGGTAAGTTCGAACAGATGCAATGGTTTTTATCAAGCCTCACTTTTGCTCAAGAAAAGACTCATTTTAAAAGCTACACTTGCAGCAAATGATGGTGATGGTGATGAAACATTTGTTATGAGTAGGGGTTAGCTCAATTGTTTCAAATGAGGGCTAATTTATATCACATTAAACAGCAAGTAAGAGCTGTTTGTAAGTTGGGCTTTTGAAACTCAGGACATACTATAACCATCCCCACCAAGAGCTTTGCTTTGCTTCCTCCCTGAGCTGACTCTCAATTTTGTTCCAAGGAAGCTGGGAAGGACATAGTTTCTTTCTGGATTAGCCCTCTGAGGCTTTCCCTCCCTCCCTCCCCTGGACATGGGGCTGTCCTCACATTGCACCTTCACATCACCTTGGTGGTGGGCCCAGGACTCAGGAAGAACAGTAATAAGATGGATTTTGCTTCCAGGGTTGGGAATATGACTGAAACAGGGCCAAGTAGGATTCCTTATTTGGAGGGAATGAATTGGACTCTGGAAGAGGGATGACATCTCTCTTGTGAGACTGTTGTTACTATGAAGTGCCATCGAATTGGTTCCAACTCTTAGTGACTCTGTATGGGTATTTCAAGGAGTGGTGGGTGGTTTGAACCACCAACCTGTGGTTGGCAGTCCAAAACTTACCCTACAGTGCCACATCAGAACTCAAGTGAGGCACAGAGGAAAAAAAAATAGGCTTTCGTTTGAACCCTTGATCCATCCTTACCTGAAGTTAGTGTACTCCCTGGAACATTAGCCAAGAAATTCTCTTTTCTATTTAAGCTAGCATAAAGTAGGATTCTATCATTTACAAACAAAGGTGTTGTAATTATTCTAGATACAACAGAAATCAACACAGAGTAGGGCCAAGCTGGGTTCCGAGCACTGCCTCCTCACCTATGTGCTGGGCACAGGTGTCACAGTATTCTGCGTACAGGGACTCGAAGCAGTGGCAACAGTAAGGCCGTCCTTCCTTCATGATGTAACGCTGGCCGCCCAGCACCGTCTCACACTCGAAGCAGCAGAAATGTTTCATGTGCCAATGGCGCCCCTCAGCTTCTGTGCATTCATCTGCAAAGATGATCTGGAGATGGAAAAGCCAAAACGTCAGTGCTGGACACCCAGCCATGAGAACATACTTTTTAAAGATGAAAAGCTAAGGCACCCCTCCCTCCCCCAACCAAATTCAAAGAGTGAGAAAGCAGGTCCAGCCTATGAATTACAAGACAATAATACATGTGTATGTTAATTCTATATTTATATCTGCTCCCAAATAAGGATGCACCTAGAGAACAATTAAACCTAGTCTCTGACCTGGCCAGGGATGAATTTAACCACATTTCCAAAGCCTGAGGAATTTCCTACTCCACAGAAGAGTCTCACCACAAACTGAGAGCCCATGGCACATTAGACATACACAAACACATCTGTTTCATTTGGTCTATACACAATATTTAAGAAATAGGGACATTTCATATAAACACATGGAGTCCTGGGTTTTTTTTTTTTGTAAAACTGTAACACTGGGCAATGCTCAGTACACATTCCTGCGGGGTAAAGCCACACTGGACCTGAGAAGAGAGTTAGTTGTCGCTTCCAGAGGGGCTGGCATTCCTCTACTTTGCCAGATTCCTCACTATTCCTTCTTGCCTTAAAATGGATTACCTTCATTTACAATATGGGGTAAGCTTTCAGAAGTATTTGCATTCTGGTCCCTGAGAATGGAGATTTTTGTATTAATTTTTTTCAAAATATGACAAAGCTACAGTAATCAAGACAGTGTGGCACTAGCCTATAAGAACATGGGCATATCGATCAGTCAAGTTGGAAAAGAGTCTAAAAAATACACTTGTAGGTTTAGGGCCACTTGATTTCCAAAAAGGGCACCAAGATCATTCAACAGAGAAAGAAGAATCCTTTTGATAAATGGTTCCGGGGCAACTGGATACCCACACAGAAAGAATGAACTTTGATCCCGACCTCACCCTGTTTGAAGGAATTAAGTCAAAATAGATCAAAGACCAAAGTATAAAACTAACACTATTAAACTCTTAGAAGAAAACAGAGGTGTATATCTCCATAACCTTAGAGGGTTATTGTTAAATGCCATGAAGTCAGTGACCCTGTATTGGGCTTTTAGGTAGAATACTAAAGCAAAAGTAACTAAAGAAAAACATCAGAATTAGAAACTTTTGTATTTCAAAGATACTAGCAAAGAAAGTGAAAAATACAATCCACAGAATGGGAAAAATTGGCAAATCATGATTATCAGAAGGGACTGTTGCTGTTGTTGTTAAGTGGCCTTGAGTTGATGCTGAGTCATAGCGACCTTGTACAGGGTTTATGAGGAGATAACCTTGAAGTTCAAACTGACCTTGCAGCCCAGCACATTAACCCATGGGGTCACACCAGAACTCTATCACATGGGGCTAATATCCAGAATATTTAAACTCGTAACTCAATGATAAAAATACTACCCAAGGAGGACTTCCGGCACTTCCCTGACCAGGCAGCTCAGATAGGGCAGTCTCGGGGAAAAGAGGCGGAATCGCACATAAGAAACCTCTGTCTAGCAGACACAGCCTTTGAACAAACATAAGATCTTATGTTTCAACATTCTGAACTCGTTTTTTTAAAAGATCAAATGGCTGAGGAAGTACAGGCATTTAGAGCTTTTGCCTGTCTGCACGTGGCTTCTACTTCTGAGCCCGCGCCGGCGAGTGCCTCTGCCCACTGCAGACCTTGGAATGCAGGGCTAGAGCAACCCAACTTAGAAGGCTGCATTTAATGAGAAAAGGAAGCATAAACTAAAAAAGCCGAACAAATAGAGAGGGATATCGGTGCGGATATCAGGAAATTCGGGGTACACACGGCACAGAGAGACTAAGAGAGGCATTTTTTAGGTCATCAAATACGGACACTAACTCCCTGCAGCCATGACCCACAGCCCTCTACTGCCCCAGCCTAGACCAGCCCTCTGCCAAGCCGCCGAGGCTCAGGAACACCCAAGGCACAGGCCCACCAACTGAGGCCAAGGCCCTCCCAAGGCCCAGACACTCCCACTGAGGCCAAGGCCTGCACTGAGGCCCAACCTGCTCAGAGACTGGTCACAAAGGCCCAGGCCCAACCAAGGCCTAAAATTGCATACCCACCTCACGGACCAGGCGGTCCATAGCACGGTCGCCACTGAGGTCCAGGGCCCCCAAGGCCCAACCCTCGCGTAGCCAGGTTACTGAGGCCCAGGGCCCTGGAGGCCCAACCCGCCGCGTAGCCCAGTCGCCAAGGCCCAGTGCCCCTGAGACCCAAACCGCCCTCAGCCCGGTCCCTGAGGCACAGGCCCCCCGAGGCCCAATCTGCACAACCTGCCCACTGAGGCCCAAGCCGCCCGATGCCCAGCTGTTGATACCCAGGCCCCTGAGGCCCAAACCACCAGCCTGAGGCCAAAACCACTAGTCCAAGGCCAAAACCACTCGCCCGAGGCCCAACCCTCCTGCAGCCCGGTCACTGATGCCCAGGTCCCCAGAGGCCCAAACCGCCTGCCCTAGGCTCAATCTACATGCCCGAAGCCCAAACGGCCCACCGCCGAGGCCCAGGCCCAAGTGAGGCCCAAAAAAGTTACTCTGAGGTAAGCAATAAGGAGAGTGAAAAGGAAAGACCACATCCTGATCACATCTTCCTAGAGGTAATCAGAAAACATAAAAAATTACCAAAACACATAATTAATTATTAGGGCCACAGATAAGCATTAAACATGTCCAAGAAGCAAAAGCAGATGACCATATCGGCACATGTCCAGAAAAGAGATAAAATATCTGAGACAAATGAACCAGAAACAGACCTTCTCTCCATGCTGGAAGGAGGGCAGGCCTTGGAGATACCTGAGAAAGAATTCAGAAAACTGATTATAAAATGTTTCAAAACACTTTACAATGGAGTTGAGAAAAATAAGGA